CAGGAATGAAGAGAACTCACTAGACTGAACACTGCATTCAAGCTGAACTTTTTCCAGGCATTGCGGGTAGTAATGTGCCCAGCTGATAAGCCCTTGCCAAGCCCAAAGTTTCAGGGACTGGCTGTAGTTCAGTGGGACCAGCTGATCCCAAGAAGAATTCTTCCTGCATTATATACTAGAGTTTACTAAATAGGATAAGAGGTGGCTCTATGTGTGGTTTGTTAGATCAGATTCCCACAAACAGCCTCCAGCTATTGAAGAAAATTCGATCCCAAAGGCTAAGTAGCCATAGGTGAATGGTGTACTTCTAGTCCCAAAATCGCTGAGAGATCAGAGTGGGCTGCACACATGAATGGACTGTCTGTCCACTATTACTGCTCTGCAACCACAGGGGATAAACTGTCCATGGATACTAGGGAAATTACTGTAAGTACAGCCATAGTTATAAGCATCAGCTACCAAAACCTGTGTCCCATCAAAAGTCATGAAGTTAGCTTGAAGCTGTTAAAATCTTGTGTTTTCCACTTCTTAAGTTTTTAGACTGCAGTAGCTTCCTACTTTCATATTTTTCTCTAATACCTTAAGAACTGGGTAAATGTGCATATAAATAGAGATTCGTATTTCATCTAGTGGAACTTCAATAGAATTCCTAAATATAGGAGTTGACAACACTGAAAAGGTGGGTCTAATTTAAGCAATGATTGAAAATAACACTAAACAAAAGTCTCTAATCTGTGTGAAAATGATGCCATCCATGTAAGCAGAATAATGTCTTTTTATCCTTGATCTTGGAAAGAGAGACAGCAAAAAATGTGTCATAACTCTGATGGGTTCTTGGTCAAGAATGATCATATCTGAAAAAGCTATTGCTAAGATTGTTACAAAGTTGTTTCTTGTAAATTAAAGCGATATTAATAATTGTGTTTCTTTTTAAATTATGATAGAAAGTCTGTCTAAAGTGGTGTTCCCATATTCTGTTGAGGCATGTGAGCATACCATGTAGTGATGGTGACAGAAATACTGACAATATGTAATTAAAAAGTCACTTATTTTCACTGCGTACAACAAATGAAATGCCAACAGTAAGGAATAGATTAGAGATGGGAGACGATATCCCTTTGCAAATATCAAAGTTTATCTCCGTCGCACTATTCTGTCCAGCTACATGAAGTAACAACATAATCAGAGATAAAACACTTCAGAAGAAGTAGTTTCAGAGAAACCCAGGAAACAGTAGCTGAACCATTGGAAGGATGATTTGTTTCCTTGTGTGAGTATAAACCAGATATAAACACAGGTATTTGGCCAAAGCTGAAGTATGTAGAAAATAACCTTGCAAAAGAAAAAGTCACTGTAAGTTGCTGGCAGTTGTTTGTGAGGCAATGCAAACACCAAAAGACTGGCAGAGAAGCCCTCTCCAGTCTCAGGGAAGAAGTGGGAAGCTGTGAGTCAGACATCATGCAGGGTAAGGGAAGGTGAGGATGTCCTGCTTACTGCTGGGGCAGAGTTCATTTTCTTCTTAGTAGATGGTACAGTGCTGTGTTTGAGATTCAGTATGAGAATAATGTTGATAACAGTCTGATGTATTGGGTTTTGCTATGTAGTGCTGACCCTAAGTTAAGGACTTTTCAGTGTCCCATGTTCTGCTAATTAGGAGCTGCGTTGGAAGCTGTGAGGGAGCACAGCTGGGACAGATGACCTGACCTGGCCAAAGGGATGTTTCATACCATAGAATATCATGTGGTTATTAGAATTATTAATATTGTTAACATATTTGAGATTATTATTATTATATTTTGTTTCAATTATTAAATTGTTCTTCTCTCAATGCATGAGGTTTACTTTTTCTTTCTGAGGTGGGGGTGGAGGGGAGTGAGCAGGTAGGGCAGCTGTGTAATTAGTTGCCAGCTGCAGTTAAACTGTGACAGAGGGCCTCTAACACTTTTTTCCCCTGTTAAATCAAAGTAGTTAACAACATAGGTTTGGGGGTTTTTTTAAGAAGCTGTTTTCAGTCATTTTACGCTGTTTACAGGCCCCCAAGGAAGGGTTTGCAAGTGCCAAGGTCAGGTGGTCCCATATTTTTGCTCTGATAGGCCCAGAGATGTCCTATCCAGGGACTAGTCTGAAAACTGAGCATTTTTGGGGATATCACACAGAAAGGGAAGCTGCTCATCCTGCCATCTGATAGTTTACTCAGGGGCCAATGAGGGATTTGAGGGACAAACCACATTGCAGCTATGATGATGTAATATCGAGACAGAGAGACCTAGTATTAAAATGTGATCACAGAGGCAGTAGCAGAGGTCACAGATGCAAGTCATCCTTGAATCTGACAAACAAGACAGTTCAAACATACTTTTGAATGCTTTACTGTTAATAACTTGAATTACAATGATGGGAAATCAGGCAAGGAAGGAGCCTGAGGCATTGGCTCTGATTATCACTTGGTGCACTTAGTTGAGTGTGGAGGAACTCATTTAAACCAAGTCAGTCACTGGCCTGTGCAGCTTCAATACATGATATTTCATGATTTCCCATTGGAGGTCTCAGGACTCAAGTTGCCTTTTTTTTTTCCTCTTCTCCTTACATGGTTCCATCCTAGGTCTGAAAAGCTGCTGTCATAAGAATTATTGAAGCTAAGAAGATAGTGCTTTGTACCATCTGAAAGCTTCGTAGCCTTGAGTCATATGGAGGATAAAAAGTAATCCATCTTAAAGATCAGTGGTTTTTAAATCACTGAAACGCACATTTGGACTTAGAATTGGAGGGAGAGTGATGTTTATCATTATAATGGGATTTAAAATCTAATTCCTCCTAGCCTTGTATAATGTATACAGTATTTCACAAACCAGTATAAGCACGAGTGGGAAGGCTTGTGAGTTGCCAGAAGAGCTGAAATGTTAAGCAGACTGCTGTTTGGGGCAGTGTTATTTATTTATCTGGATAAACATTTCCTTTTCAAAAGAAGTTGGAAAGGATATAGAGAGTATGCATCTGTGCGACTTGGCGGTGTTCTCCAGTGGCTTCACTGCCCATGATTAAACACAAGGCAATTACATCTAATCTTTGTTGCCTTAACAGCCAAGTATTGGCTTCCTTTTTATTTCTTTAGATTTACTTGTGCAACCTTCATATTGTTCCTGTGGCTGGTCATGTGGAATTTTAAGATATCTCTGTTGTCAGTTCTTCTCACACTGTTTGTTCCTTGAGCTGCTCCATGTATTTGAGCAACACAACATCCTCATATCCTGAATAACTCTGTCCCTGCCCTACTGTCGGGACAAGTATCTCTATTATATCCCTTCCACCCACTTGTCAGAGTGATATCAGTCATCTTCTTCCTATGCATTCTTTCTGCTGCTCAGGGAATGCCCTTCCTGAGGTGCTCAGCAAAGCCACAACACTTTACACCTTTAAAACTTCCCTGAAGATCAGCTTCTGTGATGCTTGCAAGGAACTAGCTATGTAATCTACTTATCTGTTTCATTTATCTCATGAGTGACTCTCTCCTTCCATGATGCATGCAAGAAACTTGTTAATTAAATCTACTTGCTTTTACTCTGGTTTTTATGAAATTCTGGATTGACCTTCACCTGGTTGGGTGAATTCTAGGGTAACTGTATCACAATCACCTTTTGGGTGCCACACTGATCTTCCTGGCTGTTTGTTGCTTGTATCCTTTGTTGCTTCTCATTAGAAATGCCACCTTGCCCTGTAGATAATGAGGCTTTGCTCTTCACTTGACTCTTCATGACTTGACCATAGCACCAAATATGTGTAGGAGTTCACCTGCTTGGAGCTGATTATAGGCTCAGTGTATTAGGTTGGGAGCTACTCCAGGCACAATCAATGTTTTTTGTCTCTAGCAGATATCTCCTACAACAATTTGCAGGAATGTCTAAAACACTGTGCAGAAGGAGCTAATAGCATTTGGTGTGACTGCTGATTGTTGTCATGCTACTCCCTGCATTTTTCATGTTGTCTAATTTTTGTGTTTATAACTCCAAAAAAGTTCTATAAGATTAATGTGTGTAAAGGTTCTTGGCTTGTTACTGCTCTCTAGTAAGCATAGATAGTGTTATCCACACTTCAAACAGAGAATTTCAATGTATTTTAATTGAACACAATTTTAACTCAATAGATAAGAGTAACAGCTGAAAGATTTTTTTTTTCTTCCTAAGAGGAGGTAAAAAATTGAACCTTTTTATAATTGTACTGTGTAGTCTCATGAAATAATACATGCAGAGATCATTTTTATTTCTGTGCTACTGATCAGACATCATTTATTTGTGGCTTGTTGTGCTTGTCATGTCTCTCTAATGCACAAAAACCAGTGGGTCTCCCTTGTTTGCAAATTGTGACTTGTATATTTAGTGTCCTTTTCAGCAGGGCACCTCCATCTATGTGACGTTAGGCACATGCTGTGTGTCAGCAGGATCTGTAGGCTGAAGTGTAAGACGTGCCCATTTTTCACTTGCTGCCAGCCTTTCCCAAGGAAATGGTATGGCCTTGGCTATGTCAACATCCTAATTTAATACCAGTTTTAGGGCATTATCGTCTAGCAAGCTAATGGTCGTGTAGGTAATTAATATTCCTAGACACAATGGCAGCATTCCTCTAATTAGTGAAGATTTCAGTTTGTTCAGTAAAAACAAACTTCAGAGTCTGAATCTCCGTATTCCCTACGAGCCTTGCATTGGAGCTGGAGGCTGGAGCTGCACTAATGGAGCTAATTTTCTGGTTATTTTTTCTACCATATTGGGAAGGGTTATGCAGGGATAAGTTCTGAACAGTACTGTAAGCATTAGTAATTTCCTAGATGGAAAACAAGGGAACTTGTGTTTGAATACTCAGAGTTACTGCTGACTGGCTCCTTGGGTGTAGTCCCTGAGTAGAAGGTGAAAGAGCCCCCAGGAGAGTACAGGTTTCTTCATTGTATTACCTGAGAGCTTTGAAGTAGAACATGCCATCAAAATGGACTTTTTCTTTTCCTCTTCCAGTTCAGCTTATGATACCAAAACAAGACAGAAGGTGGCAGTGAAAAAGCTTTCAAGGCCTTTTCAGTCACTTATCCATGCACGGAGGACCTACCGAGAGCTTCGGTTGCTTAAGCACATGAAGCATGAGAATGTAAGTGGACAGTGAGTTCTTTCCCTTAAAGTTTGCAAAATAGGCTTAATTTCAGTTAGGTTCAATCTTTTTTGAAAAGTATATGCAACTGTCTAGCTACCCAAGATACCTGGACCCAGCCATCTGGACTTTAGAGGCTTTCAGTAACAGGCTGCATTTTTATTTTAAAAATATCTAATTAAATCTTGAAGATGAGGTTAATGAAATCCAAAACAAGTGGTCCTACTTTTCCCTAACTAAAGTAATAAAAGTATTCTCTTGAAAAGTATACTGTTGAAACATCTTGAACCATAAGTTCAGGGGGAAAAAACCCTGCTTTTTCTGGTTTTGGATTCTGTCAGACACTCTTTAGGCCCCACGTAACTGAGTACTGTTCTAAGTTTATGTGGTAAACAGTTGATTTCAGTGTGATATCCACCTGCTTAAAGGTAATTTGATGACCTGAAGCCTGAATAAAATATGGTGGATTGAAAAGTATCCTGGAGAAAGGATGCTATAAAAGTTAAACAAGAACAGAACAAGAAAACCCATGAAACTGTGCATAATCTTAAGTATAACAATTGTATAAGACATGTGTCAACTTTTCTGTATTGAGACATTACTTTTCCTGCCTTAATTTTTGTTTGTCTAAAATCTTGTAGTAATTATTTTTTGTAATTAATATAATTTTCTGTTGATCATGGATATAGCTGAGGTGATACCTGTATAGACCTATAGACCTATAACATTGTGCCAGTTTTCAGGATGAACATGTCATATTTTTGTAAGTTTCATCCCAAAAATGCTGAATGCTGTCAATACTAATTATATACTGCTTTGCAGATTTCTAAAAATAAAATGTCACTTCCTTCACCTTTCAGGTTATAGGATTGCTAGATGTTTTTACACCTGCAACATCAATAGAAAATTTTAACGAAGTGTAAGTAAAATTTTAAAATCATTCTGACTAGTTACGAAGTAAGTACATACCACTCTGGTTTTAAAAAGGAAGTACATACGTTTCTATTCTAATAGACTTACAGCAGAGTTGACTTTATAAAAACCTTTTTGCAACTTTTCCACAAAAGAGGTTGCAGGAAGATGGACCTCATTTTTGTACATTTTAAATTATAATTAATAAGATTATAAGTATATGGTGAGTGGTTTAATGCTGCATAAGTTCCAGAAAGCTTAAAACTTTTTCAGTTCAATTGTGTGTTAGCTGTAGATTATCTTTTCACAGATAGACAGGATAGTTCAGGAATGCAGGAAAGTATTCTGTTGCTTAACAGAGATAAGGTAAATTCAGGCTAGAGTCCTGACTAACCTAGGATTAGATATATTTTGATCCTACTCAAAGACACAATTTATGCTGAGTTCCTCTTGGTTTACATAATGTATAAGCTCTTAGGTAAACAATTTAGCAGAAGAAATAGTAATTAATCTGTTTTTGTCTCCATGGAAATTAGTGGCCAAACCCCTTTGACTCTGGGGAAAATTACACAAATAGGAACTGGATATGACAGATGCATACTTTTGTCCCAGTGCTGTTTTTGGAAAGAATCAACATTTCTGCAAAATTTGTCAAAAAATAAAACTTCCAGTGGGAACAGGGAAGGAAGTTACACAAAACACTCTTACTTCAACCAATCTAATGTTAATTTCCATCCTCCATCATCAGATACTCCAAGGCCTTGCAGGTCTAGTAATGCTCCCATTTTGGTCTTGAGTGAGGCTTCTTCTTCATCAAAAAATACGTTGCATCACTGGTGTATTGTGTCATGGAGAAAACAGAGATAAAAGCTTTTAATATACTGTAAGGACTTTTCTTTTTCATTATACCAAATCTCATAGCAGTGATTGCATTATTAAAGCTCATAGTTGATTTAAAGGATATAAACTGTGTTATTAGACAGAAAAAGAACCTACATGAGCATATGTAGATACTCTTTATATGTGTTTCTTCTAGAAGGATTTACATTCTGCCATTCTTAAATGAGGTGTGTTTCTTTGTTTTCTTCTCCCTGTTTTATTTTCACAGGTATCTTGTGACAAATTTAATGGGTGCTGACCTGAATAACATTGTGAAGTGCCAGAAGTTAACAGATGATCATATACAGTTTCTCATCTATCAGTTACTTCGAGGTCTTAAGGTACTGGCTGAGTGCAAGAGTTTTAGAGTCCACAATCTAAGTGTTGTAGTAATGACTGTTTCATTGCAATGACAGTACGTAAGGACTTTTTTTTGCATGTCTTAGGACTGCACAGGTAGCAGCAATCATTTCAGAAATTATCAGATAGTTTTTCTAACCAGAAATAGACCCCCAAGCCTGCCAATGTTTATATGCATAATACATGTGAATACTCCTCTTGAATGTTTAGATTAGTTCTATTTAAGTTACTATTGCAGGACAATCACTTGCTGTATAGTGTCTCAAAAATTCTGAAAAATGTGAAATGGATAAAGAACAATATGGCAAGTAACTCATATTTTTGCTTTGAAAGACATAAGCCAGTTTGAAAAACCACAGTCCTGATTTTTGTAGAGAGTGCCACATAGATGAAGAGCTAACCAGGTCAGTTGGGTCCTTTGGGAAATGTCTGGAAGTAGAAATTTATCCCAGCCATGTACAGTGTTGCACACAATCACTTGGGATTTACTCTGCCTGTAAAGTCATTATTTTCCTTTAGTTTAAATTTATACAGTTAGATAACACAGGTGACTGGCAATGAAAATGCATCATGATTTGCTTCCAAAAGAATCAAAATATGTATAATTTTGCTGATGTTAAACATATAAGTGTCTATAAACAGGTGAAGAAGTAGGTAATGTTTCCCTTTACTGGGTGCTAAGTTTTTTCTCAGACCAGTATAGATTTTCCTGGGTATAAGCAAACAGAAAAGAGAGGAGTCAGCTGCTTTAGTAGCTAACTGAACAGTAATTGATATTTTAGACACGGAAAATAAGTGTATGTTTGAAAGCAAGCCATGGTAAATACTGGTTCTGAAATATACTTATTACCTGATTTTCATCAAGTCACCTTGTGCCTGAGACAGTAGTTCTTATTCATGCATGCAGGTTTTGTCAATTTAAGTGCAGATTTTAGTGAATAAAAATTGCAAAACCTAGACCTTAATTATTTTGTCTCATTTACATGAGTTAATAGCTTAATTATGAAGATGGATTCTGGCATTAATTATCCAGCTTGAGGTTTTGTTTATAAGTCTATCTTTTGTGTAAGAGCTAAATCATAGTAAGAATTGTACTCTAAGTAAATATTAATTTCAGAAATGCATTCAGGTGCATTTCTGGCTCTGTTTCGAAGAGAAGTGGCTTGTCTCTTCCGGAATTGAAATTCCAGTTGGAGAACATTTGATCATGTATATCATGTATATCTCCTCACATCTATGCTGGAGTCACTGCAACTTGTATTCACATACCTGAGTATGCTTTGGGCCTGCTGGTGGTGGTAGGTGCGTTCAGCAGTGTGGAGCACAGGCTTTGCATCCTGCAGAAGCCAAATGAGCAATCAGTGTCAGTGTGGAGCTGCAGTTTTCCAGGCTTCTGAGCTGGCTGGTAGACCACTGCTTGGTGGCACCGAGAGGAGCTCTTGTGGTCGTCTCAGCAGAGCAGGGGCACGGCCCCTTCTGTCACAAGCAGTAGTTCGGTTTCATCTTCATTGAGCCGCTCGCAGCTGTTGTGAGGAGCACTGAGAGGTGGCCTTGCCTTCTGATAAACAGTGCTTAGGTCTGGAACACGGAGAATGCCCTTGTGTTTTCTTTGGGTTTTCCCAGTTGCTATACAGATTTTGCATATAATCACTGCTCCTAAAAAAGGTGAATTCACCTCTAGAGAATGAAACAGAACATTTTCAAGGTCTTGCTGATGTTGATAAGTAATATGATAGATAAATTTGCTGTTAATCCTGACAAGGGAATGATAGGCAATGACAGAATAAGCTTTTCTCAATCTTCGATTTTAAATGTTTTATGTAAAATAGCAGAAACACTAAATAGCCGTGGAAATACTGCTTTGAGTCTCTGCTTTGAAAGTGGACCTGAGGTAATGCTATGGCCTAGGTAGGTATTTTGGTCTCTTACATGATGTTAAGTCACCTTTCTGTACTGTGACTTCACTGAGACACTAGCTGATCAACATGTTCCAGCTAAAACTGGAACAAATTCCAGATTGGGAAGAAATTTTCAACAGAAGAATCACTGCAAGTACTTTCTTTTGTGGTGGAATCTAGTAACTCATGGTTACCTTTCTTGAAATATCCAGTTCTGGATAAGACAAAACAGGGAGGTTTTGAAGTTTGACATACCTCTGATCTGAAAATGTGGTGTGACGTAAGTATTTTCTGTATATAAAACAGTCAGTCTCAGAAACAAAAGAATAAGACAAGTGACTTCTACCTCCCTTCACCTCTAAATTCAAATCTTACCTTTTTTTTTCTTTTTTGTCTCACAGTATATTCACTCAGCTGGAATCATCCACCGGGTGAGTTCACTCATTGGTGTAATAAAAATGAATGGAACGTGTCCTTCTGTGCATCAAGTGTGTTACTAAGAAATAGTTACAATATACTTTAAAAGGTTAAAATAGTACTTGACTAACTGTGTTCTACCACAGGACCTGAAGCCCAGCAACCTAGCCGTAAATGAAGACTGTGAATTGAGGGTAAGTATCATGTTGTTGTAATGAAGAATGTTGTAAAAAAAGCTCTCAAGATGACAGTTTTCTGAGAAAACATTAGCTACCATTTTTATTTCTGAATCCATTAATTTCAACTGTTTGCTACTGTTCCTCCGCTGGCATAAAATAACCATTTCCATGAACATGTGTTTTCTCCCAAATGCTAATTTAATATGAATGTAAGAATCTTTGCAAAATGTTCATCCCTATATACCCCACAGATGGTGGGGGTAATAATTAGCTAATAATAGCTAGTAATTTGGCCCATGAGTGAGTACTTAACTGAGTATATCTTGGAAGCCTGACCTGTGATATGTATCTGCATCTGCCATGTTTAGACGAAACCTTACAAAAACTTTCATTTTTACATCTGTAGAACATATAAGCCAAATTAAGTAATGATGGCAAAAAATATATCAGTATTACCAGTTATAGGCAGTAAAAAACCAACCAAAAAAAAACCCCAACCAACCAAAAAAACCCCTGTAATCCATGCTTCTCAGATGCTATTTTTAATATACACATCTAAATAAATACATCTCTTTCTGTGTCCGTGTGATACAATATTGCATCATAAGCATGAGACTCAGGAAAAGGAAAAGATGTCTTGTAGCTTTCTAAGCCTTTAAACCTAAGAATGAGAAATTTAGCATTTCACCATGACAGCCAGAAACATCTTTCTCCCTGTTTCTAATACTCTGATGTAATCACTTTATTCCAGCTGCGAGAGATTTAAGAAAAGACTCCAAATACTACAAGATCAGCAAAAAATCACAATAGCGAATAAGAGTAGTGCAGTTAGGTTCTTGCACTAATCCGGATTTGTGGTGAGAAACTGTAGTTCCTGTTTGGTTCAGTGACACTTGCAGATGCTCAGCAAGTTTCATTATTATCTCTTTAATGTCTTTATGCATATATGTTCAGCATCTGTGAAATTTTATGGGTCATCTGTTTCTGATCATGCACTCTAAAATGTGTGCTGTATTTTTGTACTGTAAGTAAAGGAGGTTTTTACTGCTTTTCTTCTATTATTGTGCTATCTGTGCACCTCCCTGCCTAGCATTTGTTACACCACTCTCTGCTTTGTTTATATATATAGCTTTACTTCCTCAAATTATTTTTAATAGAACAAACTAGTAGATATTTCCAAGTACAAACAAAAACGAACTAGAAACAGAAAGAAGGAAAATGTGTGTGTACAATACTTGATAGAAGGGATCAGCTGTTAGGGAAAAATATTGCAAAAACCCTTATAAATATAAGAGCATTAGTGTTTAAGCTTCACACCATTGTTTGTGCCTCATTTGCCTCATATATTTTTCTTTCCCTATTTAAGAAATACATTATGCTTTTAAAGTATATTATAGACAAGGATGTTAATGTCTTATTTATATCTTAATATTTTTATTTAGGCTTTTCATATCTTTTAATTGGATTATAACAGGAATTTTGAATGAACCTCTTGAAATTTTCTTATTGCCAATGAAAAGGATTAACCATCAGCTTAATAAATAATCCTGGATCTCAGCACAGGAGATATTCAATGGTCTTATTCACATTTTTATGTGAAGAGATGCTAGCTAGCTCAGATGACTGACTTAACAGCACTGAGGCTCAGATGGTACACTTTCACAGCAGACTCTCTTAGAGCTAGGGTCCATAATTAGTGGGACATAGACTAATCAGAGAATAGAATAGAAAGCAAAGATGAACAGAAAAAAATCAATTGAAATAACTTCCCATCAATGTAAACTAAGCAAGGAAAAGCATATGGAGGGGAACATTTTGCAATCAAGCCTATCTGTACCTAAACAGAGCTCCTTTGTTACTTTGGTGTGCAAATTCTACCAAAAACAGATGGTATATGATTTGAATCTATCTTTTTATGCAGGATATGTTTCTTTCCTAGTGGCATTGGGTTGATGTGTGATTTGGGTAAATGCTTAGACATAAGAGGGAAACAACAGGAATTCTGCAGATTTGTGATCAGCTTGTATGATCTTGAAATGGCTACTGGCACTTGCTGTTGGCGTTTTACACAAATATTCCCAGTTGATAATAGTGTTTCATTTTTAATAGCAACAGTGCTTATTTTTAGCAAATGAATGTCAATGGAAAATGTAAAGTTTACCTTAGAGAACAAAGGGCCAGGCTCATTGTAGTGGAAGCATCTTTATGCAGACCCCTAGGCTACAGGGATACAGCAGGGAGAGCAGATGAGCTCATCTGCAGAGTGCTCCTGTTTTACTTCACCGATAGTGAGGGACTATGGTAAACTCAGAAATGAGAAATGGGGAAAAGCAGGGCCTATAACAAAGGTGAAAGAGGATTTTTAAAAATTATTATTTTATTTTTATTCTGTAGATTTTAGACTTTGGTTTAGCTCGACAAACTGATGATGAAATGACTGGATATGTTGCAACAAGATGGTACAGAGCTCCAGAAATTATGTTAAATTGGATGCACTACAATCAAACAGGTAAATTGTGAAGGCTTGCATTTTGCTACAGCTGGATGGAGTGATAGTTTTAAACCAAGAGGAAATTGTATTTAAGGGTCACTTTGATTCATTGTACACATTTCTCTCTCTGTTTTTGGCAGTTGACATATGGTCGGTTGGATGTATCATGGCAGAGCTATTGAAAGGGAAGGCTCTATTTCCAGGAAATGATTGTATCCTTAGTATAAAACTTAAAATGCAGCTACAAAAATACTCTCTAATTCTTCCTTTTTTTCCTAAGGAATTGAGTGCTTCTATGGAAATGTTTTTGAGGTCACAAACTGGTAAAAGAGTAAACAATTTGCTAATCTTTCAGTTCAGTGTGTATATGACAACTGAATATGAGACTCACTGCTAGGATAAAAACCAGTAACAGATGTTCCAACAATAAGTTACATTTATTCTTTGTTGTGTATCTGTATTTAAATAATAAATTAGTTACAACAGAGTAGACTTCTTCCATGTGTAGATCTTATTGAAATAACACATGCTAGAACTGAAGCTGAGTAAAGGCACTATTTTTTCATCAGCTAATACAATTTTTAAAAATAGAACTGCTTTTAGGCTGGAAGTTCCTAAAATGCAAATGAGTTAACTTTTAAATAATAAGTAAATTAATTGGCCTACTGTGTCCTGTTATTAAAAAAAGCCAGAAAGTTCCAGAAATGTCACAGGAGCAACAAAACCCTCTCTTTTCCGCAGCACTGTGCTGTGGTCCCTGATGGAGCATCAGGGATTTCCATTGGCGTTTCCTGTGCTGGCAGGAGAAAAAAAAAAAAAAAGAGATGTTGCTGAGGAGAGCAGTAAAATAATAAAAGAAAGCAAAAAAAAAAAAAAGAGATGTTGCTGAGGAGAGCAGTAAAATAATAAAAGAAAGCTGAAGAAAAACACATAGTAAGGAATGAGGAAGCAACTGCATCAGAGGAGAAAAGCTTTTAATATAAGAAACAAAGGCACATTCTTCTGTACTAAATATTGGCATTTCTTGCAACTCCAAAACCCCTCAAAAAGCAAATACTTCTGCTAAAACTAAGCTATTGCCAGGTGCAAAACATCATGACATTAGAATTGCCTGGAATACTGTTAAGAGAGCTTGAGACCAAGTCTCTCCGCTGACCTTTCTATTGTGCTCAGCATCATTAGACTCTATTGTAACCACAGGCATTCTCCAGGTGTTCATCATATGGAGATGGCTGTCCCCCAGACTGTTTGATTACATGATACATGGTATTTGGAAAAATCAATACATCTAGTTTTCAAGAACTCAGATTTTTTTTTTTTGCTGTTATAAAATATTGTCTGTAGTTGTATGATTACATCAATTTAAATAAAGCTGTAAAATAACCTTGAGTCTCTATAAAAAATGTATTATACAGGTCACCTATGACAATGAGAAATGAACATTTTCAAAGTTTTAATCTTGAGAACAATATAAAACAGATTTTTAAAGCTACAAAATAAGAACTTTTTACTCGCCAGTCTTAAGATTAGTCATCTAGCCCTGCGTGCTGTGTCATACTAGACTGATCTTCAGAAATCCCTCAGATTGCTGAAACATAAATGTTCTATTAAGATTAAGCTTAAGAATATTAAATTGAGAACTAGGACAGAAAAGCAATATTTTTCATGCAGCTGACGTACCTGACAGATTAATCTGGTACAGTAGAGAATTTGATACTCCACAACTAGGCTTAAGCAGGTATGAATTTGTATCTTTCCATGGCCTGTGGTAGAATTTTCTTGCTGAATACTTTTAGACATCTTAGTTATGTACATGGAAGCTCATTAATTGTCTAAACCCAGAGGGACCATATGCTGTTTATTTCCCTGAAATAATGAAGATATCGATCAACTAAAGAGAATAATGGAAGTTGTGGGCACACCCAGTTCTGAACTTCTGAAGAAGATATCATCAGAACATGTGAGTTCACAGCTTCATTTGGTTAACTGACATTCTTTCCCTAATTGGCATCATATGTCACTGACTGTGTTAGAGATACTCTGATTTGGAAATGAGCAAACACCTTAAAATTGTCTGTTTTTTGCTGCTAGAATGCCACCATTAAAAAAAAGTTCTTTTTGGAGGTATCCAGATCCCTTGACTGTCAGCTGGATTAATTTTAATACTTGTTCTCATGTACTCAGTTTTTGAAAGGAGTTAAGCAAATAGTCCTGATGATCATTTAATTTGTTGCTATTCTTATAATTAAAAAAATTCAAACTCATGCTCAGCTCAGAGCATTATATTGTTGTTATTAAAGCTGATGTCTGTAATTTTCATAGTTTCCATTGTTGTAAGGATTCTAAACAGAGATATCAGAATCCAATAATGTGTGTTCTGCATGAGTTAGATCCCTGATTTGAAAATCATATTTATTCGTCTCTGAATCCTTGCATGAGGTCTACTTCCCTGATAATATCCGTAGTTAAGAGTGTGCTTTTTAAATCTGCATGTGACTTCTTTAGAATAGTAATCTAGTAAATGAACAATTTCTACTTTGTTTCTTTGCTAAAGCTGTACTTGAAGGATTCACTGTAAGCAATAACCATGGATATCCAGCTGAGGAATGACATGTGATATTGATTGATAAAGGCAGGTGATGAGCACAGTGTAAAAGTTCAGATAAACAGGAGCACGCAGATACCTCCCTAGCTGCAGCTGTTATCTTACACCTTTTCTGTATACGCTTCAGACTAATACTAATAGCTATTTTTCACCTTGTGTGTATATTGATGGGTTTCCTTTGACCTTAGTAATGAGTACATTAGTGGGTTAAGTAAGCAGGAGCAGTAGGAGAGCCAGAACAATGCTATATTTCTGAAAGGTCCATGCATAATGAAACTTCATCAGCCAAAGCACAGTCCCAGAGGTTTTGGGTACACAGCACCTGGGAATGGCTGGGCAGGAGGCTAACTAAGCATCCATCCTTTTGCCAGGGACTGCATCAAACAGCAAATCTCATACTGTGCTGTCCTAAGCATAGGTCCTTTTATAGTCTTGTGGGTCCTTATGTAGCCTTTGTGTATTGTTATTAAGATACTACAGTTTTTCAGAGTAGTGTATACAAATGTGTGATTTACCCACAACTAGTAAGATTCTGAACTTTTGATCATGGGATTAAGCACTTTAATTATTTACTGGAAATAGTATCTGCTTTTGTCTTTTAATTTGTTGTGTTTCAGAGCATACCTCAGTGAGCTACAGGAGTCCTGAAACTGTTTGCTGGGACTAATTATAACTTTAAAGCACAGGGAGAATACAAAAAACAGGTTAATGAATGGGAGTGCTGCTAGGTCACCTCTGGGCTGCTGCTGCCTGGTTAGAGGAGCAATGTCAAAGGAGCTGCATACCTTGCTTGGAGGTAATTGCCACTTGCAAGGAGGTTCCTTCATTGTAGCTCTTCTTTACCATGTAGTTTTGCCTTATTGTTTAGATATTTCTTAATGCAGCTTGCAGCCATGAACAATTCGTAACATTCCTCTAACAGCAAGGTCAGAGATTTGCTGAAATGTCAAGCCTATTTTTAGTTATAACTAGAGGATTAAAGAATTGGAAACTGAACAATCAGCCACATGGGATGTTTCAGCACAAGTTACTGAGGTATTTTGTATTTCAGAGTAATTTAAACATCTGGATTCTGTTGGTTGGGTTTCTGTGGTGAATATATAAGCAGAGGGGACAGGTTGGTAAGTATACTTTGATAGGTCTATGTTGTTTTCAAAGGACTTCTGGGCAAGGTTGGAGGTAATTTTCACGGTATCTTGTTCAATCATGTTTGGATTAATGATATTGATTGATGTCCATAGAGAAACAAATAATCCACAAATCCACAGATATTTGTGATAAGATAAATCTACCTTGTTTCTGCCCTAATTTATAGCTTTCATGCGAGAATGTGTGATAGCTCTCTATTGCCCTGCTGTTCATATACATATATATATATACACACATATATATATACGTATATACATATATATATATATGTAAACTAATGTCCTGGAAGACTTAGCTCTAATAAGAGCAGCACACCTTGGCCTTCTAGGAGGTGTTAGCTGCCTTTATGAACCTTAGGGGCATAAAGTGAGTGCAGCAAAGCCTCTGTTTGACTTTTAAGTGTTTAAACATCCTCCTCTGCCTGACAGGCTACAGCTGCTTAGAAGAAATCATCCTTTAACAAAGCCTGGCTGCTGTCAACCCCCATAATAGAAAGGGAAAATACTAGTATCATTTTAAAGAGTCGAGGATGTAATGCATAAAGGCTTTCTTCCTTTAGTAAGACTCTGAAATATGTCTCTAATGGCAGTCTGGAGTTTTGTTAGAATATGCTTACATCTTACAAGAAGCAGAAAAAGTAAATATATCTGCCTTCTTAAACAAGAACACAGTTTGAAAAGAGTCTTTGTTATGTAATGATTTAAAATATCTTTACATCAGTTCGTCATAGCTGCAGAAATAAAGATGATGGCTGAGAGACAACAGTGTAGGGAACAGGATCTGTTTCCCAAGTGTGGTTGTAGGATTGTACAGGTGATATGTCACAGTATTTTATAGTCACTTCTTAATAGTCCAGAAGGTAACTCCACAATTCTGTTATCTCACTTGAAGCCGTGGAGCTGCTTAGTATGAACCACTTTATTTCCATTGCTGTCTTGAGTAGGCCAAGGATGCTTAGTTAGCCTTCTGCGGATAGTGTCCTTCTAACAGGATTGCTAAGTGAGAGAGACATCTGTGTAACACAAGTATGTTTTAAAAGGATTAAGGCTTGTTCAAATACCAGCTGGGTTTTTTTATGGATTTGGAAATAGCCATTTGCTTTTTTTTTAACTGTTCAATTTCAGAATTCCCTGTTCTGTCTGATCCCAACCCTTAGGGCCAGCATTCAACCTCTTCTCTTGCTGCCCTGTCTGCCTCAGCCTAGAAATTTGCAGCTTACTTAATGTCAGGCTCCACACTGACCTTATGTGAGCTGTGATAATACAGTATTGTACTGTAGTATAGTACAGTACAGAATGCGGATCTGGCGTGCAGGTAGGCTTTTCCTGGCTGAGTTTGGATGAACCTTTCACAGCCACAGTGACAAGACAAACTGTTAAATATCTGAAAATCTATTCCAGGGGAATAGACTTTGGTTAGTGAAGCTACTGTTGAAAAAAAGGAGAGGAGGAAAGGCTGCAGTTTGAATGATACCATTTTGCTGAAGGTAACTGGAAGATGATTTAAGTTGAAATTTCTGATTGAACGTTACATGCCTATGTTCCCAGGGGATATTTTGCAATAAACCGGTAAGCGCAGGTGATAACAAAAGTGCTAACACACAACCCTTATTCCAAAATGCACCTGCTTAAAACTCTCTTGCTTATTGTGCAGTATACAGGAGTGATTGCTTAAAACGAAGTCATACATTATGGTTTTATGTAAAGGTTTTCCATGTATAAGAAACATAATGTTGAGGTTTTTAGATTTAATGTAGTTACTATTGAGCAAAATTTAACCTCTCTGCATGTGGTATGTATATTGATTTTTTCCTAGGCAAGAAAATATATCGAATCTCTTCCACATATGCCTCAACAGGATTTGAAAGCAGTATTTCGTGGTGCCAATCCATTAGGTAAGAAATTCAGACTAATACAGATGAAGTTTTTCACTAACATAGGAACACAAGCCTTCCTTTGCTATATGATCCCATATAGTAATGATCAAACCAGTGAGAAGAGCATTTCTTAACCTTTCATCCTGAGACTGTTTTCCCTTCATGAAGCCTGTGTCTTTTGTTTCTGGTGGAGGTTATGGGAATCTCCTGTGGAAACGGTCCATGGATGAAAAGCAAAAGCCAGCTAATAGCAGGAATAAATAAAAATGTCATGGGATCTAGATTAGAGACATCACTTCTAGCTCAGGAAGGCCATGAGCTGTAAATGGCTGGCAAGCAGAACATACCAGGAAGCATAGCTGTTTGAATGATCCTTTTGAGTATTATTTCCTAGGAATATATGAGCCATTGTTGGACACAGGATACTGGGCTAGGCAAACCCTTGGTCTGATCCTGCACAATTGCTTTTATGTCTAACCAATTGGTTCTGCCTGTTGCAAAAGAGATGTTTCTGTGAAGCTTTTCTTGTGGCATGGCAAAGGGCCATGAGTCACCAGAGTCATTTCCCTACAGCGCCTGGTCAGTTCCATCAAGTGCACGTTATAGGGAAGTACTGTGAGTTAAAATGTTTTCACAGAATCACAGAACATGCCGAGATGCAAGGAACCCACAAGGATCATCAAGTCCAACTCCTAGCCCTGCACAGGACAATTTCTTAATTCAATCTGTGTATTAATGCCAATTTTATTCTTACAAATATAGGTAGCTGTGAAAACTTTCTTACAGAAAATGAGATTTATTTGCCTGAGGTACATAACAGCATGTCATGTATTAATATGATAAGGAAAAACTAATGCCAATGTTTATGAAAGCGCTAACATTTTTTTTATAATATTTTAAATAGTTAGGATAAAATTTCCATACAAAACTAATTTCAGCCTTACAGATATCTCTCATTTCTAGTATTCTTCAACGGTCAACTTCAAACATATTTTGTTTATTCTGGGTCCTGTAAAGTTGCTTTGGGGTTTTCATCTGATTGTTTCATTGGTGCCGCTAATTAAAAAAGTAATCTCACATCCACATTTTATTATTCACAAGTTACTTAACTTGATCCTGATCACTGCAAACTTAAGCACATATTTAACTTACAAGCACACACAGATCTTTTTAGAATTAAGTCCTTGGATGTCTGAAGAGGTGAATCAGATCTCAAAGGGACTATTATGAACTTTTGTGCATACCACAAGCAAACCAGAAGCTTCCTTCAGCTCTGAAAATTGTACTCACAGTATAAAATCTTTAAAACTTATTTGTTATCTTGCCTGAATTTTGTGAGTTTACCAGTAATGTTAACCGTGTTTAAGGTGAGTGAGGATATACTGTGTGTCGATAGTTGCCTTCTTTTTTATTTCTAAATTATCTCTTCTGGCTTTGAACCGTGTTTCTCTTTTTCCCTTAGCTGTAGATCTTCTTGAGAAGATGCTTATATTAGACAGTGATAAAAGAATTACTGCCTCGGAAGCGCTTGCACATCCATACTTTGTCCAGTATCACGATCCGGATGATGAACCTGAGGCCGAGCTGTACGACGAGTCAATAGAGAATAAGGAGCGAACCATAGATGAATGGAAAGGTATCAGAATTGCACACAGCAGTTAATACATGCAGCAGAACAAAACCTTATTTAAATTGCAGTTTTCCTCCATTTCTAACCAGAGGAATTTGAACTTCTAAGCCTCAGGCAAACAGGTCCCTGTATGTACTTGTGGGAGTGGAGGGGTGGAAAGGCTTGTGTTTCCTCTCTGGACTTTGCTCCCTTCCCTCATTCTATCATCTCCTCACTAGATTCCCTGTACCAGTCTTCAACTTAACTAAAAGCTGATGCTATTACCAGGTAATCACACATTCTGTTTTGCTTTTAGTTTTCTAGATCAGATCCCCAGCTGAAGTAAGTGTTCTAGGGCAAGTGACACTGGGATTCTGGTCTAGCTCTTTCAGAACCAGAAAGTAGTATTTTCCCCGTGGATGTGTATTTTGTTAATAATTCTTTAGGTAGCTAAGAAATTAGGATTAATAACTAAACTATGCTACTGCTCCTGTTTGAGATGAGAGTTGATGATTTTACTTAGGAGTCACACCCCAGAACCTTTCTTTGAGAAATACCGCAGCAATCTTTTATTAGTTAATTCCATGCTTGCATCATGATCATATTGCACTGCAGTATCACAGAAGTAAGGTGGCCAAACATTCAGTTGCAAGTACACTGAAAAGTACAATCCAATTTCATCACTGTCTAATGGGGACATATTATGCTAAAAATTCCTTACTAGAGATTTTAAATTGAGAATAATGTTGTAGAAAACTAACAGTTTTTGTTTATCAATAAAGGTCTTTCCTTGACTTAAGATGTCTTTTATAAAATAAATGTCTTCTGTTTCTATTTGTATATTCTATAACTTTTAGTCTGGGAAGGTTCAGTAAAAATGTATTAGCATAGTGGTTAGGTTTATGATGTCTCCCTTGTCTTATTGTTGCCCTTCCACTTGTGCCATGTTTTATCCTGGGCGTTGCAGGGGAGACAAACAGACTGACTACAGCAAATACATCTTAAAGACAGGTAATAGTGGGGTCGTGGCTCTCTATACAATAAATCAACCTCCTCAAGCCCTGGAAAGGCTTTTCTAGAAGTCTACTGTGTCTGTACAAACAAGGAGGATTGGCTGGCATTGCTCACTCATGTTCTCTTCCGCAAAACCTGGCAGCCTCCAGCACCACCCATACATCTTGTTTGTTTAGAGCTGAGTTCAATTGCCTGCTAGACTTAAGAGTGAACTATTTCTTTTTTCCTTCTGCTTTTTCAGTTGACTGAGTCTTAAACCGGAAATTTTAACAATTTCCGAATCATGAAGCTGATTTCTGTTTGTGATGAAACTCTGTTGATATTATTTCAGGAACAATCTTAGCTTAACAACTTCTAAACTGAAATGAAAATGTGAAGGTGAATTCTCTAGGAAGAGCAGTATCATATCATTTATCATTACATTTATCATGTATTATTTTCTACATCACTGTCCTTGCTGGAACTACAGGTCAAATTCTTCTTTATAAAGGGGGAAAAAAAGGCCTGAGACAAAAATCTAAAAAATTACACAGGATGTGCAGTGCTTCCTCCTTCCTTCTGGCCATATTTTTATCTTAGGGAATAAACTTTTTATTTTCACGTACTGCATGGTGCCACATTTAAGTAAGATGGCGTAAAATGTTTGTAGTGTTGATGAAATATTGACCCAGTTTCTCAAGGTATCAATGGCGTAATTCTCCTCTTTTTTTCTGTTCAAATTAAAAATCAGTGGCACTTGATCCCAAGAGGGACTTAGCACCAAAGTAAAATGATATTTCAGACACTTTGTCTTACACATTATGTGCTTCAGAGTTTCCTTGACCTACACTGCACACTGCTGAGGTTTGCAGCCCAAGCTCATAGATTTCTTACAAAAGTGTTTAATCGGTTAGAAAGTATTTCAAAATTTTAGAGGCCAAAAGTATGCTATTCAGAGGTGAATGCTACACATTCTCTTAGCTGTTGCTCCAGTTGCACATACCTCTGCTGAGCAGCTGGCACAAGAAGCAGGTAAGGAGCTTTATAAGCATACGATGTACAGCCAGTGAGAATAATTTCTAATAACAGTTCCAGGTGTCCAATCTGTGAGGACTCTGGCTTCCTCCAAGTTCACTCAGGACTGCTCTAGCTCCTCCCTGGATCTGGCTGTTACCAGATGCTATTTAATATCTACAGCTCAGTCACTGAAAGAGTCTCCTAACAAATCCTCTCACCTCTGCAGATCTGCACACATAATTTCTTTCAGAGAAATCCTTCACTGAAAGTGGCATGTGGGTCACTGTGCACCATGATACAGCATAACACAACTAGAGCACAAGCATAAGATTTTTTACTTACTTTTTAGAGGAGTTGTAGGTACACTTGCAGGTGTAGCAGCTGTCTCAGAGCTATTTAATAAACAAACTAATAGGCACGAGTTTGATATGATCTAAACATTACTGTTTGGAAAACAGAACCTGAAGTAATGCATTGTTAGCTATATGTTATATGTGAACAGGATAAGGTCTTAAAATATGGTATCAAACTTGAGAAATTACGTAAGAGGCAACCACTGACGACATATTCCATTAATGTCCAAGGCAGACAACACAACATGACTGTCAGCATGAAAAGATAAAGGATTATTCCTAAATCAGAGTAAAATAGTAGGGAACCCATGGTCTAGCGAAGCCCTTCTTGATGAAAATAGAACTGTTACATGCTTCTAAAACAAAAGAAAATTTTTTTTCAGAGGACCTTAAAATTATATTAGTTACAGTAACACATAACTCCTCACCCAAAAAAACAGAAGAGATCGTAAGGCATTAGCACAGAATTGCAAATGATTTATGTTGAAGGCAATTGACTGAGAGATGATAAAGAACATGCTCTACAGTTAAAAGTGTATATTTGAAAACCTCTTTGAGTGCTTTTAAAGATTCCATTTTCCATTACACTTTGTCTTTTACTACATCATTTTGGCAGGTCATCTGACAGCATAATTGATGTTTCCATTTCAGGGCCTGTGTGTTTTAGTAATTAGTTGAAGGGGACAGTCATGTTGTACAATAACAGTATTTGTGAGTCTAATTTGCAATCTGAGGTTAAGAGAAGGATTCCTAGTGAATTCAGTCTATTTTTGGATCTGGACTCTTAAAAAGGCTGGAAATACAAACTGCAAGTCACATGAGTCTATAGAACTGTTTTATCTAGAATTTTTCTTTTTAAGAGAATTTCACCTAATTCTTCTGTCTCCCTTACCCCCCACGTTTACAGAACTTACCTATGAAGAAGTGATTAGCTTTAAACCACCCGACTTGAAAATGGACAGCCTGGAGATAGAACAGTGAACACAGGCAGCTCTGTCTTGCCTTGCTGCACTATGAAGACTGTTAAAATATAACCATCCAATTTAACCTGTGGTCAGATGTAGATTTTACTATCCAAAGATGTTGGAGAAGATGTGGAAAAGAAGATGAATTAAACAGAAGCCAGATGTTATCTGTTTTGGGTGGGAGTTTTTTTGCCTTGTAATATGAATGTATTCCCAGCTCACAAGGGGTGATAAAGAACTGCTTCATTCTGACAAAATTATGCACTGAGTTTTGTCAAGCTGTGTGGTCTGCATGTTTCATTTTATCAGTTGTACTGCCAAAATAGAGGTGATCTCATAAATTAATTTTAAAATTGTACATTTAAAGCATGAATGTATACAAACATAGAGGTCCATACAAGCAATCCTTTTTTGTTCTGGCATTTTATCTGTTTGTTTTCATACTATTTATAGTTAGTGCCTTTATAATGAGAGGGCGTGGTAGCAAGATAGACAGAATATGCCTATGTAGTCACATCTGTGGTGGTCTTACACATTTACTGGATGTCTCTCAAGCAATCTTAACACCAGTTGAAAGCCAGTAAAAATAAATCTTTGTCTTCTCTTGCCATCCAAGTGTCTGTTTTCATTATTTTCCCCATATACTTTTCCCATCTACACAATACCCATTTCTGAGATGATTTTACTTCCTGATGGTATTTCTAACCTTGCCATCACCGGAGTGCTGGTGAATTTGCCTGAGTTTACAGGAAGGTGCCTTGAAGGTATTGTGACAGAGCTCTGTAGACTTGAGCAAGCTTCAGTAAAGGCTGTCACAGATGGCAGTGCAAGAGTACTCAGTTCAGTTCACAGCGTTGAATTAAATATTTCACATGGTCTTAATTTTCTTCACATAATCCTTGGGAAAAAATTGCCATTGGAAGACATGACAAAAAAAGGAAATTTAAGAATTTGACAGACTCTCATTGGAGTTTCTTTTTAAGCAAAAATTAAAAGGCTTTCCAGCTCTGAAAAGTTGGAAAATTAAATAATAAATTGCAGGATACACCAGATACCAAGATTTTTTAAAGAATTAAACTTACCTAATTTTTCTGTTGAAGGCATAATACTGTAGCAGGAACATCCTTTTGTCGCGAGGCCTCTTGTGCTGTACTGGCTGTGTCTTTCTACACACTTGTGGTCCACAGTTGTTCAGTGTTGTTCATTTTTGTGTTTCGCTCTTGCTCTGTTAGAGTCTTATTTTGGAGGTGGCTTTTTATAATATTTAGGTTTTCTGAAACTTTTGTCATTAATATTCAATTGTATAGCTCTTACATGAGGTAATGAATTCTACTGCATTAACTTACCTTCCTCTGTATCTTTTCTATGTAAAAAGAAAAGCCTTTTCTTAATAAAAAGATTTAAAAAATAAAAAGTCTAAGAACTTTGATTTTTCAGAAATAGAAATAGGCATCTGTCTAGAAAACGGAATTTTCTCATTTGTGGACTAAGTGATGGTCTGCTTTGATAATGTTGCCCAGTTATCCAATACTTGTATCCAGTGGAATACAGCCACTTGTATTCAACTTTCTGCAAGGTGTATTAATCTGAAAGTAAATGCCTGCATGGATTGCTTGTGAATCCTCTGAAGTGCTGTCTGACCATCATTTCTTTGGCTTCCTGTGAAGCTGGATGAGGCCTGTAATGATCATGCAATGACTGAATTTCATGCTGACTAAAATAGTTGGAAAGGTTGTAAATCCTTAAACTGTTTGTCTGTCTACATAATGAAAATAATCACTCAGTCATGTATTAAATTTTTTTTTTATTTGTTTGTTTGCCAGTTAAAAGTAGCTCAGTGCTTTATTTTCTCTGAAATCTGATATCGAGACTATGAGCCTGTTTTGCAGCTCCATACCAGCTGGAAGGGCAAGGATGAAGTAAAGAAATTTCACAAGAACTTTATGCACCCAACAATAATTAATTTAGTGTGGGATTTGTCCCATCATTTCTTTAATCTGATTTCCCTGCTGTGAGGGTAGCCATTGGCAAATGTGTTTCAAAGGGTGTATAAAACTCTGTTGGCCATACCTCTGATACTTGAGGTAGAAAGTTTTATATTCCTTACAAAATTTGTTCTTCTGCCAGTCCTGAATCTTTGTCTGAATATTTCCTTTGACATTCAGAGATGCAATTTTTTTGTAGGAGATAAATTATGTAGGAAGAATATGGTCATACCCACATTTAAACTAATCAAAGGTGACAGTAATGGACAACAATAGCTCAGTTATTTTTAATGAATTACCATCAAAACCAATAAATCATCTCATTTTAATGTCAAGAAAAACAGTAGGGAGACAGACATCTTTTTCCTAGATGTGCAAAATGAAGGCAATTACTTAGACCTCAAAAGCCACTAATTAAAGTATTTTTCTAGGGCAGGTAACCAGCTCCCTCATGGCAATCCAACATGGGACTGCTGTGTGGTAACTTTATCAGTTTACAACAGCAGGAGAGGGTAATTGGAAAGCCACTAACCCACTGGGACAGAAAGGTGGAAGGCTTAGCACTAACAATGCTTATCATTTGAAAACAGATGGAAAAAACCATTTGTCAGCCAATGCAAACAGGCAAATGGAGGTAAACATCGAGGAGTGAGGGCTTTGTCAGGCTTGGTGAACCTGTAGGGCAGATGGCTTAAAAGTAAATTTTCAAGAGTAAATAAATATAGAAGTAAGGATTTTATTTCATAAAAATTTATTTGCTAAAAATGTCTTTAATGAAGGCATTGATTACATGGCCCAAATGTTGTTTTCAAAACTTGTAGTGGAGCCTGCTTAAACAGTGGGGTTTTAATCTCCCGACAGCACTCTTAGTGTCATTAGTACAATTGTGCTTTTGAAGGTCCTCTATACATTGTGTGTACATTTGAGGAGAGCAGCATAGGTTTCAGGCCACGCTAAATTAGGGTGCTCATCATCCCTGACCACCTGCAAAGCACAGAAGGGAAGCTTGGAGGAGCACGGCTGGAGAGGAGACGGCTTAGGATTCCACTGAGGAGAACACAGCTCTCCAAGGGCTTTCTCTGGCTAATTATTGACATTGTTAGCAATTTGCTTTTAATCTGAATTTACCTAATTTCAGCTTTCAGTCACAAGAGCTTGTTATCCCTCCACCTACTGAATTGAAATCACTTGTAGTATTTATTATCTCACTCCATAATCAGTGTTAAGTGCAACCACCAGTCTAGTAATTTTATCATCACTGACAATAAAAGGTCTTGCAAAAGGAAAATCTTCATGCGTCTCAATCTTTTGACATGTGTAAAAATATACATTACAGTTTTAAAATCTGCATCTTTATTTTTTAAGCTCTCTACCTCACAAGCACTGAAGGCCAGGAGCAGGAAATTGATATGCCACAGCCAAAGCAGACAAGAATAACAAAATTTCGAATTTTCAAATGGACTAATGGAAAGAAAAAACAAGGATGGTTTAGAGGAAAAGCACAGTGTTAGAGGATATCATGTGCCGTACACTGAAGATACAAAATGGCTACATGAGTATGAAACAGCGGGATTACTAATAACTTTCAGAATTTATGAGGGAAAAATAATGGGAAATTAGTTAATCAACACTGATACATGAAAAAAAAAATATCACGTGTCAGTAGGTCAAGAGTCATCATTTAGACAGCATTGCTGCAGAGTTCCAAGTAGTGCTCTTGGTGTGGTTTTGATATGGTATAAAAGATGAAAGCAAGAGGGAAGGAGAGTCAGTATGCTGCAGGATCTGACACAGCAAGCTCACTCTAGGGTCAGGAGGGGGACAGCCCTTTCAAGGACAAAATGTTGGCAGCAAAAGCACCTTTGACAGAGGTGGGGAGCTGTCAATACAAAAGCCACTTCCTTCCTTTCTTCCTGTCATGTGTGCTCCTGGATCATAACAAGAAAACAGACCTCTACTTTCCTTGGTCTCTTTCCCCTGGTCAAAGATGAATCTGTTCAAGAAGTACCGTATTGAGCTGCCGGCACAAATTACTTATGTAACCTTCGCTACATCTGTAAATTGCTGGCTTGGCCCAAGAATCCCCGACCGAAGAGCAGTGGTCAGGATTTAGCTCTCAGTAAAAGAGAATTACACTGTAAATTGGGTAAATTATGTCCTTTGGTAGCAGCAGAAAGGGATTCAGCTTCAACAAGATCAATCTCCTTAGGAAGAAATTATTACCAACATCTTTGTTTACTTTAAAAGCAACTGCTTGTTTCTCTTACATTGCTGCTAGTGCTGTTTATGGATGTAAAGACTGGTTCTTAGAAAATCAGCACACTTGCACAAGTGAGAGTACCAAGTGTCATTAATTTATGAGTCTGGGTAAAGGGGTTTTAAGGGACTAGTACCAAGAGACTTAGAAAGCTGCATTAGTGTCACTGCCATTGCCCTTCTTTCTGCTGTAAGATAAAATATTGAACTGATATGCCTAAAAGGGTCTAAGTTTTCACTGCAAGGACGGAATATATTGTGAGTTTTCTATGTGAACACTGATCTTCCAACCAATCTGACACTTAATCCATTAGATGTGAAATTTCCACATAGCGAGCGAAACTCTTCAATTAGGCTTCACTCTTGCATGCATACAAATGCTTCATTTTGAGCTCACATAGTCCCCCAGCTCCAATTATTGTCACAAATTAAGATGTGTACCATAGCATAGAGGTTTTATCTAGTCCTTTTAGGTTTCAATTTGATCGCAAGTAATATTGAACACAACAGAAATACTGAATCACAGTGGCAGCCCTGAGACGACTATACATTAAATATGCCACAACTTGCAGCCTCCACTGAGCAATACTTTGTTCCTTACAGAATAATATCCTGTAGATTAGCAGGAGAGGACCTTTTGGTGGATTCTGAGGAGAAAAAGTTAGGAGAATGTTAAAAGCAGTTGATTTACACGTAGCTGTCTGCTGCCCTCTACACCTGACCTCTCTTCCTCCACCACCCTGCAGCAAGCAGGGATAATGGGCTAGTAAATAGTTACTTAGTAAGTTCTAACTTGAACTCTTGAGCAAATGAAACATATAGCTTTTAAAATATTTTTTTAGTAAAAAAGCACTTAGGCGGTGCATATTTATTCCTTTCTGCTGATGGCTGAGTGCACCTGCAGCATGGCAAGGTCCCCAGGAGGGCTCCATGACACAGAAACTGTAACTGAAGCACCCTGCTCATGGAGCAGAGAGACAAAACCAGAAAAGTTGCAAAATAGTAGGCAGTTACTCCAGTGGGGGAGGGTGGGAACACAATAACATGAGAGTATTTTCAGATTAAAACTAAGATTTTTTTTTATTTAATCTTTGGTTCTTGTTGAAATAAATAAAATTAACTTACTTCCTCTACAGCAACATGTCTAAGTAGACAAGCACAGAGTATTTTTTGAAGGTGGGGATATAGAAAACTTGTTTAAAACAATAATATTCTAGGAATCATATTTTAACAATTCAGCAATATTTTATGTTTATTGACATTTGAGATGTGTTTTACACAACTAAATTATTCATATATGAATTAATGTATTGAGAATAAAATGATCATGTAGAAGACACAGACATAAACGGATAGAAATGTGGGAAGA